ACACTCCATCAACATCACTGAAGGAAGAACGAGCGGATGGTGCTGTTCATCAGCAGTGGATGGTGCTGATGTCAGCACTGAGTTACGGGCAGAACCAGAGTACCCTGGAGCAGGAAATGGCAGCCCACTCCAGCATTCTTGCCTGGAGAATCCCAGGGACAGAGAAGCCTGGTGGGCTGCAGTCCAAGGGGTCGCAAAGAGTCAGACCTGACGGATGGACTGAGCACCCAAGCCGCACAGAACACACTTGAATATCCAAAGGATGCTTCCAGGTCTTTTCCTGCTGGGCCTGTAAACTGCAACCAACGTTTCTGCAGAAAATGAGTTTTTCGTTGTCTTTTGTTTATACCACAGTGAAGTTATAATTAAAATGACTTATTGAATTACTGGTTGTGATTACAAATACCTGCCAAGTAAGTCTCCTGCATGGATAGAGAAATTCACAGAAAGATGGATCTTTAGCTACCTCCACTCCAATTCCTGAGAGCATGCACTATTCCCTCCCCACTCCCCGCCCCCAGCCCCAGAATGATGAGACTGGAGAAAGTATGCAGAGAATTTCCTACTCTTCAGAGGAGATGTCAGACATGTTCATCTGCCTTCTCCAGCCTTCCACTCCCCAAGAAAGGGGTGAAAGACTGACTTTCTTGTCAAAAGACTGACTTCTCATTGATTCCTCCACCCACCGGGGGCACTGAAATACTCCCTGCAATCATAAAGCTATTTCCCTCTACAACGGCTGGTTTCATTTATTTGCTTTGGAAAAATTAAGATTTTTTCTCCATGTACAGAGAAGAGAAACACTCTGATATATCTGCCCTGAGAAAAAACACCTGATGCTGGGAAAACTGATATGTCATAAACTACCTGTGGTCATCGTTGGAAAGAGCTGGCACACTCAGTCACAGTAAAAGCAAGAAGGGAGATCAGAGTCTGAAAATCACAGATATTACATATTTAATAAAAGCTATTTGATTTCATTACTAAAAAAATAGACCAAAAAATCAGGTTTATTGCAATATCTGACTATTTAAAATTTATAGGAATGGAATTTTTCCAGATGAAATATTGACCACCCCTAATCATAAATTTTAGCCAAAACAAATCTGGCTGGAGCTAGCTGGTATTTGACAAACTAAAAAAATTATGTCAACCTTTCCTAACCATAACAGGCAAATTTTGAGAAAAGTTGGCTGATCTGGGACATAATAAATGAGAGAGGATTTCCTTCTGAGATGAGTTTGTCATGCATTTAGTAATAAGAACCAGTCCTGGACAATGAAGTTAACTCATAAGACTTAGAACTTAAAAGTTTGGTCTCATTAGTTCCAGGGTCTCTGATGCCAGGGGGCAATTTAATTTTGTTCAGCACACTCATAGTATCGTCAAAAACTTCCACTATAAGCAAAAAGAAAGTATTTTTCATATTATTAAATAAGATATTAAAATTCAAGACATGGTATCATATGTGCTACTGGTTTCGTAACTTGATATTTCTTAATAAATATGGGGTTAAACCTATTTAACAGCTTTTTATATAAGAAAAAGCAGTTAAGCAAGATGGTAAAGTTTCAATTCAGAATTTACTTTTACAGTATAATAAAAATACGTTGCAGATTACTTTAACTTCATGATCAATGATGCAAAAGCATGGGTTGACCATAGATTGAAATTAAGTGAGAGAGGTTTGTGAATAATATCAATTATAGGAACACAATTAGGGAGCTGAAGCTCCAATCCTTTGGCCACCTGATGCCAAGAGCTGACTCACTGAAAAGACCCTGGTGCTGGGAAAGATTGAGGGCAGGAGGAGAAGGCGACGACAGAGGATGAGATGGTTGGATGGCATCACCAACTCAATGAACATCAGTTTGAGCAAGCTCTGGGAGATGGTGAAGGACAGGGAAGCCAAGAGTTGGACACAACTAAGTGACTGAACTGCAACAACAAAGAGGAATACAAGGTCAAGACGAAGCTTACTTTTTTAAAGATATATTTCCAGTCAATTCACACAAAAGCAATTACATATTGCAAAAAAATCACCATGTATCCAGATGATGTTAGGATCATTTTGTGATCCAAATGTTCCAGGAGACCATGGATGTGCATTAAGAAAGTTGCCAGACATTTGCTACTACAAGAACTGGTGGAAGTCTAATGGAAATTAAAATCAGGCAGATTCATAGGAAAGAAGGAATCTGTCCAAGATTACAGGCAGCAAAAATAGATCTGCCAAGCTCCTGAATTACATCAGAGCCCAGCAATTCTAGTAAAGGTGGAAACCTGGGCCTACCCCAAGCAGCTATTTCTGTCCCCTGAGGTAGATCTCTGGGAAGCCACACTCTGGTCATTCTGAGAAAGGAACTGACCCCACCCCGTGTGCACAGGGGCCTATGTTACTACCGCACTGCCTTCCAAATCTCCTAACCTTGAACGACAGGGATAGAGAATATGTTTCTGCAAAGTGAAACTGCTATTTACATTATTACTAAAAGCAAAATAGAAACGAGCTGTCCCGACCTCAGAATCGATCCAGTCCTTCTGAAGGTCAAGTTTCTGAGGACAGGGCCCATTCCTCCCTGGTGTTTCCCAATGCCCACCCAGCCCAGCAGCCCCAGATCCCGCTTGAAGTCACCTTTCCACCAGACCCCATTACCCTTCCTGACTCTGGAACATTTCTGCACAGCTCATCACCTAGATTGGTTCACAAAGAGCAGACATGACCAAGCATGGTTTAGGCAGAGCAGAGAGCAGGATCCATTCCATCGTCTCCGGACCTCTCCCTGGGCTACAGCCATGCCAAGGGAAGTGCTCGCTTTCTGCTTAAAGTGATTTTGCTGAATGCCTAGACTGTGGCAATGATCAATTTACCAAGAAAAATAAAGATGCCTGGGCAACTTTTTCAGAAAGATGCCATTCCAACATTTGTTCCCCATGAAACAGAATGTAAAGCAACTGGATGCGTTAACTGCATGCTACGTCATTTCAGCTGTGTCCAACTCTTTGCAGCCCTGTGGACGGCAACCTGCCAGGCTCCTCCGTCCATGGGATTTCCCAGGCAAGCATACGGGAGTGGGTTGCCATTTCCTCCTCCAGGGGATCTTCCCCACCCAGGGACTGAACACACGTCTCTTATGTCTCCTACACTGGCAGGGTTCCTTACCACTACTGCCACCTGGGAAACCCTAAAGGAACTGAGTAGAGAAACACAAGGATCAAAGGCAGATTAGAGAAGGGAGCTTTCAGCTGACTGCACTGAATCTCTGAGGACACGGCAACGCTTTCAAGCTAGATCAAGGTTTAAGAAGTTAGAGATCCGTATCACAGCAAAGTGGTGTGTGTCAGGGAGGCATGAACTTCACACTTGTCTTTAAATATATTAATGGTGCTAAAAATAGGCCATCACCTGCTCCTCCTCTTCCATTTAGAAAAGAACCAGCCAGAACGCTTTGAATTACAGATTCGCCAGAATCACAAGCAGCAATGTCCTAGCAGAACAGATTTGCAGAGGAAGACGGACGTGTTTTCTCCCCTGCAGGAATGGTAATGAACAGGAGATGCCTTCAGAGACTCTGCTTGCCAAGGAGACGGAGCAGAAGTCTCTCCTCAAGTCATCCTTGGCCCTAAAAAGTGGTGAGAAGAGAAAAAAAGATGCCATTCCAGGAAGCAGTGCAGGCTGGCAAGAAGATTGTGAAGACTGCCCTGAACTCACACCCAGAATACAGAATGAAGGTGCTCTCTGCTCTGTGTTGCATAATATAAGACCCAGTTATGATCGGTGGCATCTGTGATCTTCTGCTTTCTAATTTTTTTTCCCCCTTATCTTGTTGAATTCCATGAGAAGACAACACCTTTGACAATTATGGGGAGAAGGCAAACTTCATTTTTTAAAGAACCCATGACGATAACAAGTTTTCCCATGCATAATATCTGAGCACCATCTGGCTCAGGATATGAGGAATAAATTGCCAAAAACCAAGGACAGCGATTTTGCACTCCGTGGTGAAATAAAGGCACACACCCAAGCCTTTGCTCCGAGGACAGAATACAGGTGCATGTTTACATTCTGTGCTAAAAAGACAGCATTCCTCCCGGACGCCCCCAGATCAACCACTGACCAAAAATATCTCACTGATTAATCAATGCTTGGCACCCGAGCTGCACAGACACATCACAGGCAGTGCAAAAGTTTGAACTACACCAACACAAAGATCAGTAACAGGAAGTTTACCGCCATCTACAGATTTCCTCTCACTGCTTAAGGGAGTGAGCCAAAGGCTCCTGCTTGAAAAATACAAATTGGCAAAACTGACATCAGCTGTAGAGTTGCACTGCGGACCCAGAGATGAAACCCAGTCGAGTAACCTGTACCAAACAGCAGGCACGATAAACGACCCCCCTAGAAACAGGAAGGCGACAGTCCACCGATGCTTGTGACAGACACTCAAAGGATGCAGGCTCACAACAGGTCAACACCCCCACCTCTCTGCCTGTGGGACTAAACCTGGCAGATTTAAAGGCAAAGGTGGATAATAAATACTTGTCTTTCTTTTTTTCCCCTCGCCATTCACCACTTTCCAGAGGCACGATTTCTATAGACTTAAATGACGTCCGATCCAAACTAAAACGCCAGCTCGGGAGCCGGGCAGCGGCCTCGCCTCGCCGAGAGAGGCGCGGTGCCGATTCGGATGGAAACCCGCTGGAGCGGATGCCGCGCGGAAAGCGCAGCGAGTTTGCCAGCGGGCGCGCAGAGATGGAGAACGCACGCCGCGGCGGTCCACCTGGAGCACACACCCCGGCAACTTTTATTTTGGGGCAGAACCTCCCAAGGAAAACTTTTCTCCTGCCCGCAGGGCTCGCTAGAGCCGGGCCGGCCGCGGGTGGGCCGAGGAGGGGCCGGGAGCCGCGCGGGCCGAGGGGCAGTCCCCGGGGCAGGAGGCGGCCGGGCCGGGTCCGTCCCTCGCCTCCCGGAGCCCCGGGGGCGCGCGGAGGACACTCACCAGGCGGAGCGCGAAGAAGACGGCGAGCAGGGCAAGGCAGGCGCCCATGACGATGAGCAGCAGGAAGACGATGAGCGGGTGCTGCTGGCTCATGCGGTAGTAAGACTCGTAGAGCCAGTCCCGGGACCTGTGCGGCCCGTCTCCGCCGCCCGCCGCCGCCTCGGCGCGGTCCCGCAGGTAGCGGCGCCGCCGCATCGCCTCCTGCCACATCGGGGCGGCTCGCGCGGCGCCCGCCGAGCGCGCCCGGCCGGGGCTGCGCCGCCCGCCCGCCTGCCACCCCCGCGCCGCCTCGGCCGGCCCGGGCTGCCCGCGCTCCGAGCTGCGCGCAGGGGCCTCCGGCGCGGGCGGAGCTCGGCGCCCCGGGGCTGGGCGGCGGCCTCGGGGGCAGCTCCCGGCGGCGCCGCTGCCGCCACCGCGCGGGAGGGGGCGGGCGCGACAGGGGCGCTCGGCCCGCCTCTGCCCCCACCCCGCGCGGCGCAGCTCAGGTCTCCAACCGCCGCCGCCGCCCCCCGACGGCCGGGCCACGCGAGCTGGGGGCGGCACGGGGCCGAGGGCTGGGCGCCGGGAAGGAGGAACCAGCCGCGCCCCGATACTCGGGCGCCCGCCCCTTGGACACGCCCACACTGGGCCCGGGCGCGGGCCACCTCCCTCCGCGGTCCCCGCCTGGGCTCGGGGCGGGGGGGGGGGGTTTGGGGGGGATGCTCCCACCGTCCCCTACGCTGTCCGCGGGCGGCCTGGGGGGGGGTCCCCCGTCTGTATCCCCCCCCACCTCCCACCTCTCTCTGACGATGCGGGGGCTCCTAACTGCTCCCCACTAGCTCCAAGAGCGGTGAGAGGGGGCACTCCCACCCTCTCGCGCCCCCAGCTCTGAGTGATCCGCGGGGGGCTGGGTGCGCCCCTACTCCTGCCCACTTTGGCGGAGCGGAGCCTGGAGGAGACCTGGCCTCCTTCGGTACCTCGGCCCAGGGGACCGCCGGGACTGCGTCTCTGGGCGCACGGAGGAGGAGTTGCGTCCTCTCCGCATCCCCTCCTGGGTAGGGGGTTCCCACCCTGGGTAGAGGGTTCCCACCCTGGGTAGGGGGTCCTAACCTCGTTTTCTTCGACTCTGCGCAGAGGTCTTGAGGGGCTCTCACAGTCCTCCCGACTATCTAGAGGGCCCGGGGCTTCCTTGCAGGGAACTGGGAAGGCGCTGGGGCGCGAGGGGACCCCCGGGGCAGAGAACAGCCCTCCAAGTGCGCAATGCACTTGGTGCAGGCTGCACCCCTCCACGTCCTCACCCTGCAGTTTCAGCTTAAGTCACACTTTGGAGGGAACCCCATGGGGCAAGGTTTATTCGGCTCGGAGTTTAGGGGGAGCCCTCTGGCTGGTCCGGGGTCGCCGCCGAGTCCTTGCTGCCCCGCAGCGGCGAGGGCGCAGCCGGGGAGAGGGCGCTGGTGCGAGGCAGAGGAGGGGCGGTGTAGACCGCGCTCTGGGACCCCCTCCCTCCGCACCACCTCGAGGGGGTGGGCGCGGGGGGCGGTGCTGGAGACCCGGCTGGAGCCGCATGGGGGCGCGCGGCTGCCCGGGAAGGTGCCCCTCCTGACAAGCCAAGTCCAGAGCTCTGGCTCTCTCCCCGGGCGGTGGAGGAGGCGCTCACTGGCGCTCTCCGAGGGAGCCCACCCCTCTCTGGAGGGTTCCTCCTGTTCGAGGAAGCCCACTTCTCCGCACAGTGGACCTCGACCCTCCGCTCTCGGCCTCGAGCAAACAGCCCAGGGCGTGATCCTGTGCCCTTGTCCGTGCCAGGACACGGACCAGCGCAGGGGGGCTCTGGGCCCTGGCACTGCCCAGCACTTGGCAAACCTTCCCGAAGTATCCCGCTGCCGGCTCGGGCACTCCTGTCCCCCTGCCCGGCAGGGGCATGTGAGCCGGGCAGCTGCGTGCCCAGTGACCACGGAACCCAGGCCACGAAGGGAGGGGGACCCGGAGCCTTCTAAGGGCTGTATTTTTAGCCTCTTTTGATGCCTCCTCTGCTCAGGGGGTGTAGAGAAGGGCCCAGCCCGGCCACCTGAGGGGGGGGGGGTGTCACGATGGGAAGGCAGAGGGGGTGTGTCCCGGACCCCGGAGCCTGGCCCGAGGCCCTGACCCCCAGGCTCCGCTTTGTCCTGGGCCTGCCCTCCTGCCCTGGACCTGCAGAGGAGGAGAAAGGGGAGAAGGCCTCACCCTGCGCGGCGCCTGGGGGGTGCCACAGCCCCCGCCCTAGCAGGGGATGGAACTGTCTTCTTTGTCCAGCTCCTGGTTTGCCACCCCCACGCCGCCTTGCGTGCTGGCGCCTGGCTGTAGACGTTTAACCGGGTGAATTCCAATCTTAGAGTTTCCCTCGGATCCGCTCACCCACGGGGCTCAACTCTTTGGTTTGAACAGAGGGGTTTTAAGGTTTTGGTGGTTCTGAGAGCAAGCTGTAAGACAGCCCTGATGAATCAGATTGTGTATAAACAGCTAGAGCCCGAAGCCTCCTAAGGAAGCCCAGGTGAGTGGGAAGTTGCATTTTCTGGCCGGAAATTCTGCTTCCTCTGGCTCTGCCCCAGGTCTGCCTGGGATGGGCAGAGCTGTGCACTTGCTGTCTTCCCCGTTGCAGTAACTTCTCCCCGATTCAGGAGGCATTCTCACCCTTTGCCTAGACAGACTGCTGCCTTTACCCACTCAAGGAGGAAGGAAAAGTAAATAATCTGTAATTTAGGTTTATGGTTAAAAGTACTGAGAGAGGTGTGAGGGAAAAGTACGTTTAATTATTTTCTCCTTCTCTCTAGGGGTGAATGGGGTGTTTTTAACAACCACTATCTATCTATTTGCCACGTGGTAAAATAAGGTTGCTGTAAGATTTCTAGGAGATTTGTTAACTATAATTTAAAGAGACTCTGCTTGGAGGAAGCTTTGTCTTTGACCCTTATGACATTTTTTATCACTCACTCTTTCAATAATTCTTGGAATAAATATTTATTTTGTGCCTGGCATATGTCAGATGTCAGGTAGTCCCTGCTGGCTCAGTGATAAAGAATCTGCTGGTTCCATCCCTGCGTCGGGAAGATCCCCTGGAGAAGGGAATGGCCACCCACTCCAGTATTCTTGCCTGGAGAATCCCGTGGACGGAGGAGCCTGGTGGGCTACAGTCCATGGGGTGGCAAAGGAGTTGGACATGACCTGGCAACTAAGCAGCAACAAGTACATCAAATGGTCAAGGGGGATGATAGACCAGGCCTAGGACCCTTCTAGGAATTTCCAGTGTACTTTGAAAAGTAGGGCTACAAAGAACAGAACATGAGGAAAAGATCAACATTCATCCCCAACTCCCCCATACAATTTAAATTTCGCCATAGTAGACAGAGGTGATGGAAGGAACATACTATAATAATCAAGGTATGTCAGGCTTCCCAAGGTTACGCTGGGTTTCAGTTTGCGGGCTTATTTTTTTTTAATTTATTTTTAATTGGACGATAATAGCTTTACAGTGTTATGTTGGTTTCTGCTATACATCAACATGAATCAGCCATAGGGGCTTATTTTTATGAGGACCTATTTATACAAAATAAAATGTGAACCAATATAATGATTATAGTTATTCTATCAGCGTTTTAGAATCAGTTGCACCAAGTATACCTTTTTAAAAGTTCACAACAGTTTCTATTTTGAAGGGAGGGGGAGAAAAGAAAGGAAAATCACGAAATGATAACCCACAAGCAGCATGAAGTGGGGTGAGAAATGCCTTTTAGTACAAAGCCATGAGCATGAAATCTGTGATTTCATGACTCATGTGATTCAAGGGACCCCAAGGAGTCTGCGAGTCCGTTCCCATACTTTTATGTATCAAGGAGGCTATGGCAAAGGTAAGGCACAGGGAACAAAGGCTTTTCCCATGAATTCACTTGGTATCAAAGTATTTGTGACAAATCGCACAAAGAAACTGACTGGAAGCTCTAGCTGGGCCTGAAGGAGTGGGGCGGGGAAAAAGGCATTGGAAAGGAGGACTCATTCTTCTCCTGCAGCGCTAGAGGGCAGCCTTCCATCCTTAGAATCCAGAAGGCAGGATGGTGGGCCTGTGGGAGTGTGGTTTGTGCTAAGGTCGCCCCACACTTGGTTTAAGGTCCTGCTGTCATTATCTTGAAATTCTTGATCATTTGTGAATGACGGGTCACCCATTTTTATTTGCCCCGGGCCCTGCAAATTCGAGGGCCGGTCCTACTCACAGGAGGCATTGAACAGTCCTGGCATTTCTGCCTGCGTGCAGAGCCTGCAGGCTGCATGCTGGGGTTCAGGTAGGCAGACCCTTCGACCTCCAGCAGACAGGCTGCAGGCACCTCTGTCTGCTAAGCTGATCGTGTTTCACACAGATGCTAACACACCTGAGCGATTACACATCCAGTAAATAATTATGCCACAGAACAGAATTTTTGAATCAATGGGCTTTGCTTTAAAAATAACCCATCTTCTAGTTCCTATTCGGAATCCAGTTAGATTAGCTTCATCAATAAGGGCGCCATTGTGCTCTGCCCAATGTCACAGAGCTCTGATTGATTAAAGGCAGGCAGGCAAACCCTGCCAAGGACAGACACAGACGTATGCCAACCGGAGCATATTGTAGAGCTGAGCACGGAGTACTTCCCTGCGTATTCATTTTTCTCTCTGGCAAATACATCACTACAATTTATACAATAAAGTATGAACAGTATGTCAACAGATTCATTATCACCATGAAATACGTTTTGTGTACCCAGATAACATTTACATTTTGATTGAACTGGAGTCTGTGGATCCAGAAACCACACAACCAAAGCCAGTTTCGGGCTCCGGGAAGCCTCATTGACTCTTTCAGCTCACTAAGGAGCTCCCCTGCAGTTCAGTTTTTAGAGCATCAGAGAAAAAGTAGCTGCTGAATGGACCATTAATATATGCATCTTCTTTCCCCTTCGGTGTGCAATGCTCCCTGCCTGTCTTTGAGAAATCTTGCTTCCTTGGTTCATTTGACAAATTATTTCTCAAGTGACAAAATTGGGATCAATATTTCATAAACTCATCTTTAAAATCTGATTACAGGTTACTGATTGGGATTTATGGTCCTGGATATATGAGAAGATTATTTTGAGACAGACCTTTCGCAAAATCCCACTGCCGTTCCGAACTTTGTTCCTAGGACTTGTTTCAGGATCCCCTGAGACACTGGAATTCCTTCTGGGAGAAGCTGGGAGTGAGAACAAGTTAATGACTAATCAGCGCCAGGACCATCGCGTCTACAACCTTGTGAGAGGAATCGATTTCTCGGCTCCTGCCCCGAGAATGAGATCTAAAAAGTCATGACTCATAGAGCGAGCTGTGTTCTCCGGATGTGTTGCCTAGGGAGGTATCAGGAGAGGGGCTTTATGTACCAAGCTTGAATGATTCAGATACCTTGACTTTTACTTTTATATCCTTTTAGGTGTCCCTTAAAAGAGTCAATGAGAGAATAATTCAATTACACTCTAACACTGTTAAATAATGTACTTTGAGCAACAAGAAGTGGTCTCTAGGAAAAACAATGCTGTGACATAGTTGATGGCTATTTTTGCCCAATTCTGAATTCATTCAATTCAGATAACTTAATTCAAGATGTTAAGCCACTCTACCATGTTGGATTCGTGGTTTTATGTTTGAATTTGAAAATAAACTCACGGCTTGTATCCACATAGCTGTAATGGTTGTTAATATCCTTGTAACGAGTTAAAGTGCTGGATTTTTGCTTCTTCTGACACCAACTGTATGGAGATCTTTGAAGATGTTATAAATATCTCTGAGCTTCAGTTTACCTGTAACATGATAAGAATGAGTCAGTTATTCTAAGCATTTTCCTAACATGTTTATACTACCCTGGGCCGAGTGAAGGGATGAATTTTAATCAACTTTTTTAGATGGGAGCAGAAGGGAATGGTACACACACACAAAAAATATTGTTGGTTTGTACATATGCATTTGATAACAAGTACTGTTTCCTTTTATACAGTTCATGAGGTTCTCACGGCAAGTATACTGGGGTGGTTTGCCATTCCCTCCTCCACTCGATCACATTTTGTCAGAACTCTCTGCTATGACCCGTCCATACTGGATGACCCTGCGTGGCATGGCTCATAGTTGCGTCAGCATCATTGGATGCGGCATCATTGGTAAAGTCCCTGATGCTGGGAAAGATTGAGGGCAGAAGGAGAAGAGGGAGTCAGAGGATGAGATGGCTGGACAGCATCACCGATGCAATGAACATGAACTTGGGCAAACTCCGGGAGGTGGTGAAGGACAGGGAGGCCTGGCGTGCTGCAGTCCATGGGGTCGCGAAGAGTCGGACACGGCTGGGTGACTGAACAACAGCACCTGTTTCCTTAGGTGGAGGCAGGTGTGAGGAGGTTTCAGTGTGTGTCACGGCAGTGAGTAAACACCAAATCTTTTTTTCATCTTAATATGGCCTTCTAGTGTGTGTTAGCCGCTCAATTGTGTCCAACTGTTTGACCCCATGAACTGTAGCCCACCAGATTCCTCTGTGCATGGAATTTTTCAGGCAAGAATACTGAAGTGGATTGCTATTCCCTTCTCCAGGGATCTTCCTGACCCAGGGATCGAACCCAGGTCTCCTGCCTTGCAGGAAGATTCTTTACCATCTGAGCCACCAGGGGGAGAATACCCTCACTAGAAGATCAATTAATTAAGGGAAGGAGATTTTGTTTCTTTTGTTCACTGTTATATCTCTATTACCTTAAATTTGCAAAACACATAGTAAATGCTTAATAAATATTTACTTGGTGAATGAATGAATTGATGAAAGAATGAAGATATGAAGTGATTTTATTCTGTAAAAAAAAAAAGTACAATCGGCAAATAATTCTACTAGAGTCTTTAATCAGAACTTGATTTGATAGAAATTCTACCCAGGTCTTGAAAAGGTTATACATGTATAAATGTCTGCTATTGACATTACATTTTTTTTTTAAAACTCAGGATGTTTTCACGTCCTAAAATGGCAAGATTTTCCTACAATATGAACTAGTTCTATTCACCCCAGAGAGCAAAAGCTCATTGTGTATATGAGCTGAGAAACTGAAAAATAACCATAAAAAATAACCATAAAATAAACATGTCCAGGAAAATAAAAAATGTGCAGAGAAAGTACCATT